ATGCTCCCTTTGCAATTGGTCTGGCGAAGATGATTAAAATTTCTTATATGGTTTGATGATGATATTAAAAAGGATTCTTATTTAGTATATTTGTGAATTGTATGCAATAGGGAAAACTTCACTAAAAGGCGTCCATTCGCTCTTTTTGTGTGCTTTCATGCAGGATAGTGTTTTGCATACCTATAAGAAGAGCATTCAATTAGTTTTTCAAATTTTGAAAGTCAAAAGGTGGCTTGTTAGATTTAAAATGACGTCTGATGACACAATGTTCATTGCAGGGGTAGCTGTAGGACTCAAGAATTGGCTTCGCATAACTTTTGCCATTGAGCCATCGTCTCTTAAAGAAGGCCTCGAAAGGATCAAAGCTTTCTATCAAAGGCATGCCAAGAAACAATAAAATCTATTCCTCGCATTCTTAGAATCAGGTGAAGAATAACTCCTGTAATTTCGCGATGTCCCCCATCGGAGACATGGGTTCTGTTCTAAGGATTCAAGTGGTGATGATCATCAACTCTGCGTTGGGATCACAGGTCATCTGAAATGGTGGCATAATAATTCTTCTTGTTCAATAAATTTGATAAACCTTTGGGAGGAATTATTGTCAAACTTATAAACAAGTTTTAGGATGNAATTTGATAAACCTTTGGGAGGAATTATTGTCAAACTTATAAACAAGTTTTAGGATGTAAATCTGTATTGGTGATGTATTCAGCTCTTTTCTTTAACTAGTAATGCAGAACGTGCTTTTCGTGAATAATTTTTGTATACACAATATTAATAAAAATTATTAGGTATATGTGTGCTTACATTAAATATTATATTAAGTTTATTAAAAATCATATTTTTATCGCTCGTATTATATTATAAAATTCAAAAAATATTTTCTGTTTTCAGCAATTTGTTGTTCTAATTATAGGAAAAAATATAAAAATAATTCATTTGAAATTCGTTTGATTTGGCTTCAACTGGAATAAAATAACAATAATTATCAATATTCTTATGTCAATAGGTATAAAATATAGGGTTAATAACATTCTGAGTCTCTAAAATATTCATTTTTTTTGTCAATTTCATCATTAATATATGAATTTTATTAATTTTGTCCATAAAATATTCAATTTTTATTTAAATGGTCCCAAACTAGACGATCCATTAAATTTTTTTAATAAAGTGACCACATGTCATTCCATAATTTAGTATCACGTGATCACTTCTATCAAAAACTTAACATATTGTTTGTGTAAACAACATTTAAACCATTAATTTTAGAGATCAAATTGACAAAATTGATACAATAAAGACCAAACTGATAAAACATGTATATTTTAGAGACTAAAAGTGTTATTAACTATACAATATAATATACTACTCTATAATATATATTTTAAAAGAATATTAAAATTCTAAAATTCAAATTTTACTTAAAAATACACTATTTTTTTTTATATAAACTTTTAATAAAACATGAAAATTTTAATGTGATTCAAGAATTATATTGATTTAACATAAATTATTTTTTAAAAAACTAGATAAAAGATTATTTTTTATTTTATAAATGCAATGGTTAAAATTTTAGATAAAAAAATATACATATATAAGCATAATGTTATTTTTATATTTGAAATGAGTAATGTTAGATTGATGAAAGTATTAAAGATTTTTTGAACACTTTATTGAAAACTATAGTGATGCATATATTTTTTAAGGACAACGTAGTCAATTAAAAAATTTCATAGATACTGATATTTATACATAACGAATAGAGAATTAAAAAAGAGATATTATAGGTAATTTGAAGATTTAAACAAATAAGTATATGATGGTAATTTAAATATTTAACTACGGAAGGATAATATGGTATTTAAAATTTTTTATAAGAGTAAAATAGTAAATCAAAAAATTTTCATTCTTAGGTATTTTTATTAGTAGTATAGATAGAAAAAAAAAACATATATAGACATAATGTTATTTTTTTATTTGAAAAAAGTAATGATCTATTGATAGACTTTTTGAACACGTTATTAAAAATTATAATGATGCATATATTTTTTTAAGGGTTGCGCTATAAATTAAAAATTTTAATAAATATTGATATTTATACAAAGATAATAGAAAATTAAAAGAGATATTAGAGCGTAATTTAAATATTTAAACACATAAGGTTGCGATTGTAATTAAGATATTTAATCATGAAAAGATAATGTGATATTTAAAATTATTTATAAAGGTAAAATAGTGAATCAAAATTTTTTTCCTTAAGGTACTTTTATTTGTAATAGAGATGTACATTTTGTATTTCTCTTGTGTAGGCGTTCCCGTGACATTTTTTATTATCAATGAAAATCATCATCGAATAGACCATTTAAATGAAAAGTGATTGAAATTTTTTGGATCAAAATCAATGAAAATCAAAGTTACATGGAAGGTGGTCAAGTAGGTACATGTTGAAAGTTTGAGTTTTAGAATTTATATTGCAGTTCAATAGTTGACCGCTATATTAGTCTAGTTAAGTGTTACAGCCGAGCAGTGGATGATATGCTTTGCTTTGCCTATCTCGTGTCTACAACGGATTAAGCAAACAAAGATTAGGTGGTTACTTCGAGGGAACCAAGACTTTAGATAATGATCAACTTGACTATTTTATTCCTCTCCAAACTCTTAAATAGACTCCAGTACAATGGTTCTTCCCAAAAAAATAGAAAGACTCCAACAAAATAGGAAGACTTAAAACAACCCATAACTCACTCAACTGGACTAAAAAATATCAAAACAAAAAAATAATAAAAGCCCTAATACGAAGATTGTTTTCTGAGCGTAATGTAACGTCCCGGTTTTCAGGGACACATTACTTGATTAAATCAATCGATCATAATAAACTACAAATAAATCTCCGAATATAAGGTCAGATCTCTAATTGCCTCAATAAATTTATAATCACAATTTTGATCTCCAAATAACAATAAAAATTTAAAATTATATCAAGATTCATCCATTTTCGATTCCTCAAATATCAACTTTGGTTATTCCATTCAAGATTATCCTGAAAAAAAAATATTAAAAGCGGGATAGTATGCAATATGATCGGAAATAATATACTCAACAAGAAAAATATGAATGATCAAATACTAAATAATCCAGATGATAAGAATCATGAATAACGAAATCAAGAATCACATTTGACAAGCCACATAACTCAACTGCTATTAAACTATTTAGTTCTTCTTGATGACCTGACAAGTGACATTTGGACATTTAAATTGCATACTCATATTGAACCATTACACCTTGCAGGGTTGTAATCACAATCGCACCTCGTAGGGACATAATCACATTTCACCAATAATGCCCCAAGTACACTTCGTACAAGTACCAATCAATTCCAAAGTATTTAGCCTAACGTACAGATCAACCGATCAAATTGTCAGAATTTTGAATCAATCAAAATAATCAATAAGAATACAAATATCAGATAATCAAAAGATACTCTTTACAAAGAGGTTTAAAATACAGAAACATATTGTATACTATCTCGTACCTCAAAATTATTAATAGTTTCAATAGATAAAAAACTTGAAGTACCCCGAACAAAACACTTTAATTTGGTAATGATCGAAACTAAAATTCATTATTTAATTTTTAACCCCAAAATTTCATAAATTTCTATCCATCTCTCCGTCTCTTTCTTTCTCTCTCTCTTTCTTCTTTTTTTTTCCCTCATGCTTGCTCATTGTTTGAAAGAATATTTATAGTCAATTTGTTGTTTGGCCTCCGAGGCTTTACCGTCATTTGGCGTTGGCGATGCATACACAAGACACTTGTCAAAATTTTTCTTTTTTTTTCCTCCTAAATCTTAACATGACACTTGTTCATAAGATTTGTATATTAATACTTTAAACATTTAATTTTTAAAGTGATATCCAACTCAAAATGTGACCTATATATAGTTATTTGATTCATTTTCACACTAAAAATTTATATTTCAAATCCATTTATTTATTTGAATTTTTTTAAAAAAATTAACTCTCAATTATATAAAATCATAATTAACGTCCTAAGTTAGCAATTAATTCATTTTTTTACGGGTTATCACACGTAAGATCTCTTCCCCCACCCCCACCCCCAAGGGTGATATCTGGAAACTGCTATTTGATTAACTCCCGATCTTCCCAAGCTGCATCAGCAGGGGACAAGCCTTGCCAATGGATCAAAACCTCATGCTTCTTCTTTCGAACTCGGCGATCAAGAACAACTTGCGGTATTGGAATGATTTTTTGTTCATCACTGCTCATCCTTGGCTACTGTTGTTGGACACAAATATTGTTTCCAATCTTCTTCTTGAGAAGAGAAACATGGAAAAATGGATGAATTCGCGAACCAGCTGACAATTCTAACTTGTAAGCAACAGCTCCAATTCTCTACAGAACCTTGAAGAGACCATAATACTTGGCAGATAACTAAAGTTCTTCATCATGGACATCGAGAGTTGTCTATAAGGCTGCAGTTTCAAATATACCATATCTCCAATTGAAAATTCCCTTTCCTTATGCTTGGAATCATAAATTCGTTTCATTCTTGATTGTGCTTCTTTGATCTTCTCTCGGATTTCCTCGATAACTTGATCCCTATCCATCAACTCTCTTGTTCTTCAACCGCAACCTTAGCTGTTCCTGGAACGTAAGCTAAGAGAGGAGGGGACCACCCATACACCACCTCAAATGGTGCTCTACCAATTATTGTATGCCAACTGGTATTGTAACAAAATTCTACCCAGGTTAGACATTTAATCCAATTCTTAGGTTGAGAGCTTGTGAAGCACCTAAGATACATCTCCAACGTATGATTTACAACTTCACTTTGACCATCTGTTTGAGGGTGATAACTGGAACTGAAGTTGAAGGTTGTGCCATTTAACTAAAATAACTCTCTCCAAAATGCACTGGTGAATGTTGGGTCCCTATCATAAACAATAGAATGGGGCATCCCATGCAATTGAAAAATGTGATCAAAGAAGACTCGAGCAATCCCAATAACAGTGTATTGATGAGCAATTGCAATGAAATGTGCATATTTTGATAGCATGCCTATAATAGCAAAGATAGTGGATTTACCATTAGAGATAAGCAACCCATCAATAAAATCCATGGATATATCCTCCCATACTTGACTTGGTATGGGGAGTGGTTGTAGGAGGCCGGCTGACGCTAGTTGCTCCACTTTGTCTCTGGCAAGTATCACAATTTTAAATGAACTCCTTAATCCTCTTCCTCATTCCTCTCCAATAAAAGTTCGAACGGATGCAGTGAAAAGTTTTAAGGAATCCTTCATGTGTGCTACTGTGAAAATGCTCTATTATGTCCTTAATAAGATAAGACTCTTCTGCAAGATACATCTTATCTT